GGGACACTTTCCATCCCTTCAAAAATAAATCCTCTGAGCTAGAACTCCTGTCGTGGGTGGAATACGTCCCTCTCAGTTTGGTGTCAGCTTGGCTGGGCCACGTGTCTCAGTGGTTTGACAATTATGTAATGATGTCATCCTCCTCCACTCCCCCTCAATGATGGGATCTGATGTGATCAGACAAGACGATGTAAGGGGACCAGGGTGGGGAGCAACACCGTGACTCGGGTCACAGCCCAGATCCGAAGTAAGGGAGCTTCCCTGGGGTGTGACCTGCATCCCCTTATAATCTTCCAAGAGATCAAAGGAGCTAGTGAGCTGTGAGCAGAGAAGAAGGAGCCTGGCCATCACCAAGAACAGAGCCAGGGGAAGGGTGATGCCTCCAAGACCCATGGAGCTCTCGGAGGGCTCCTGGACGCTCAGATGTGGAAAGGAGATAATGACCTTCCCTCAGAGCCGACAGAGAGCAAGACTTCTCCTGCAGTTGGCACCCTGAATGCAGACTCCTAACCCCCCAAACTAATGGAGAATAAGTTTCTGTTTATCAAAGCCACCGTCTTGTGGTATTCTGCTAAAGCACGCCTCTACCCACCTCTTCTCTCCAGCTGTAAGCCACTGCAAATCTACCTTTCTGTTCTTTTATATGAAGGGAATCCTATGCTATGTGACCTTTTGTGACTGGCTTGCTTCACTTAACTTACTGTCTTCAAGGTTTAGCCATGTCATAGCATGTACTAGAACTTGTTGTTTTTGGCCTGGATAATACTCTATTGTATACACACGTCACCTTTGGTGTGCTCATTCATCAGATGAAGGACACGTGGGTGATTGTGGACATTGCCGGACATGTTTCTGTGTGGACGTTCTCAATAGTGTTATTAATGGTGGCCACACCCCAATGATTATTCCACAAAACGATGTTTTGCTGTTGCTATTGTTGTGTGCCATTGAGTCGGTTCCCAATCATAGCAACCCTGTATAGGGTTTCCAAGGAGCGGCTGCTGAGTTTGAACCACTGATGTTGAAATTAGTAGTCCAATGCTTATTCTCCAGTGCCACACCAGGACTCCCCTTATTTAACCCTTCTTCTTGTTGCTAAGTGCCATCAAGTTGGTTCCAACTCATAGTGACCCAGTATAGAGTTTTCGAGAAGCAGTTGGTGGGTTTGAACCACCAACCTTGTGATTAGCAGTCCAGTGTTTATACTACGGTACCATACCAGGACTGTTGAAATAATTCTGGGGCAATATATTCCAAGCAACTGACTGAAAATTATCTCTTAGACTACATTTAAAAAAAAAAATCTTTGTTGTTGTTTACGTGCCGTCAAGTTGGTTCCAACTCATAGCAACCCTGTGTAGGGTTTCCGAGGAGTGGCTGGTGAGCAGGAACTGAACATTTCAAAGGGCAGCTCAAGAAGACAAAATCAGATATTCTAATGAAATGTGCAAAGACCTTGAGTTAGAAATCCAAAACGAAAAAACTAGCTCAACATTTCTCAAGCTGAAAGAACTGAAGGAGAAAATTCAAGCCTCGAGTTGCAATATTGAAGGATTGTGTGCACATAATATTAAATGATGATAAAAGAATCAAAAGAAGATGCAAGGAATACAGAGGACTGTACCAAAAAGAATTGGTCAGTGTTCCATAATTTCACGAGGTAGCTTATGAACAAGAGTCAATGACATTGAAGGAAGAAGCCCAAGCTACACTGAAGGCATTAGCAAAGAACAAGGCTCCAGGAATTGACAGAATACAAATTAAAATGTTTCAACAAACTGATGTAACTCTGGAAGTTTTCACTCGTTCTTGTCAGGAAATTTGGAAGCTAGCTAGCTAACTGATTGGAAGTATCCATATCTGTGCCCATTACAAAGAAAGGTGACACAACAAAATGCAGAAATAATCTAACAATATCATTAATATCACATGCAACTAAAACTTTACGAAAGATAATCAAAAACAGAACATCAACCAGGAGATGCCATAAATTCAAGCTGGATTCACAAGGGGGCGTGGAATGATCACATGGATCTTGACTTAAAGCAAGAGAAATACCAGAAAAATATTTACTGCGCATACTGACTATGGAAAGGCATTCAACTGTGTGGATCATAACAAACTATATGAATAGCCTTACGTAGAATGGGAATTCCCGAACACATTAATTATGCTTATGAGGAAGCTGTACGTAGACCAAGAGGCAACTGTTCAAACAGCAAGGGGATAGTGAATGGTTTAAAACCAAGAAAAATGTGTACGAGGGTTGTATCTTTTTACCATATTTATTCAGTCTGTGTGTTGAGCAGATCATTTGAGAAACTGGATTATATGAAGAAGAACAAGGCATCAGGAAGAAGGCTCATTAACAACCTGCGATATGCCGATGATACAACATTTTTGCTGAAAGCAAAGAGGACTTAAAATACTTACTGATGAAGATATCAAAGACCACAGCCTTCAGTATGGGTTTCACCTCAATGTGAAATAAAAAAAAATCCTCTTAACTGGAGCAATAACCAGCATGGTGACAAACAGTGACAAGTTGGAAGCTGTCAATGACTTCATTTTGCTTGGCTCCACAATCAACACTCATGGAAGCAGCAGTCAGGAAATCAAATGATGTATTTAGGCAAATCTTCTGCAAAAAAAACTTTTTAAAGTGTTAAGGAACAATCAGAGCTCAACTCGAAGAAGAAAGAAGAGGGAAAAAGGGAAAAAAAAGAGTAATCTGACACAATTTGATGAACTTGACCTACACCTATGGATGCAGTAGCTCAAAAGAGGGAACAAATCTTTACAGTGAGGATCATTCCCACCTGTTGATACACAGAGTAGACAGGGATGGGCAACTTGGACACTAGCTACCCAAAATGGGGGACTACAAAGGCAAGAAGTGACTGGCTTACAAGCTTTCAAGAGGGAACCTAGATCCAGAGGGCGTGGAGGAAGGTAGAAAATCTCCACCGAGTAGTATCCAATCTGTCTGAGCAGGGCTGATGAAAGGAGATGGGGATAGCACTCATGTGGTACAATAGTGAATAATTACTATCAGAACTGACTGTGAGGGTTGGAATTGTAAAGGTAGACGTTTTGCAACAAAACGAGCGGAGTGGTTGACTTTGCAGTCTAGGAACAGAGGTCCCTGGGACCATCAAGGGAGAAGAGCAGAGTGCGGGACCATCCAGAGTGGGAGAGGGACTCGTGTGCTGATGACCAAGGGGAAGGCTTTCAGGATATACCCTTTGGTTAGTTGATGATATATGGAAGGGGTTGTAACCATGGCAATGAAATGATATGTGATAGGAGGAATGTAAAGGTAGTGTTCTCCCATGTAAACTATCACATAATTCACAGTAAAACATTTTAAGAAAAAGAGAGAAGAGAGCAAAAAGAGAGGGGGCCTTCAATACCACACCAACAAAGAACTGGGAGTAGAGCATGCCTTCTGGACTGGGGTCCCTGAAGTGAGGACCTCCTAAATCCAAGATTGACACCTAGACCACTGGAGATCTCCACGAAGTGTCAGGCCCACAGAGGTTCAGCGGAGACAGATCAGCAACAATACCTCAGGCCCTGGCTGGAGTCCCAAGATGAAGATGAGCAGGATGCAGGAGCCAGAGCCAACAAAAAAAGCCTAGAGTTTACCAGAACTTCCATATACACTGGATGCAGGTCACACCCCCGAGAAAACTTCCCTTACCGGCTCACTGACTGGTGACATCATGCAGGTGATTGTGTTATGTCACCAAATGGAAGATAAGTGCATCATTACATATCTGCCAAATGATATCAGTACATATTTCCAAATGACATCATTGCATAACTGCAAAATGACATCATCCCATAACTCTGAAATTGCATCATCATAGGACTACATAAACTACATCATTACTTAACTTCCAAACCTCTGAGAATCATGGTCCAGCCAAGTTGCCACACTACCATAACCATCACAGAGGTAGGAGCATGTTGGGACCAACTCAGAGGATGGGCCCTGGGGAGTACAGGAGATGCATGTTCACCTTAATCCATTCATGGAAACCCAGCTTTGTTCAGAAGGAATTCGTGAGGTGGAAGGCGAACCGGCACTTGATGGGCAAATGGGGTTACTTCCAAGAAGGGTTGGGAGAAAGAGGAGGTAGAGGTGGGGTGGACACATGAAATGAGTGTCCTCCACAGTGTAGCCCCGCCCCTCAGGTCTGGTCCTCCTAGCTTGTCAGTAAAGTTATAAAAGGCAAACCCTACACAGCACAGCTCTACACGGGTGCACATGGGTCCCTGTGTGTCAGAATCAGTGCAGCAGCAGCTAGCTCTGGTTGATTGGTTTAAAAACTGTGGAAACTTAGGGTTTATGGTTTTGTTTTGGATTTTGGTGGCACTCAGAGAAGGGACTGGATTTACAGTAGAGTTGATACCAGCTAAACAGAAAACCTCCCATGTGGATGGAGAGATGTTGTGACATCTCAGCAGTGGCTGACCAGATGGCTGCGGGTCGGGGGACCAGGCCAGGTGTCTTGGTGAGCTTCTGGGTTTCCCTGGGATTATAGCACTTGGGGGAAGGAATGGGCAACCTTCCATTAGCCCACCTTTCAGATATTAACAGCTGCTCTATGAAGATTGGAAAAATCCAGAAACGGGAAGTAGTGAAACAAAGCTCTGGCCATTACCTGACTGAGCGGGATGGCGGCTGCGTTTCAGTCTCCCTCCTTCGATCGCCTGTGCGCGCCTTTTCTTTCTTTACACGGCTGAAACCCTACTTTACAAAGTCCTTTGTGCTTTTTACTCGCCTACTGCCGTAAGCACCTTCACAAGGAAAAGCTGTATTTCTCATTGAAGCTTTTCTACCTTATGGGTAATAACAACAATAGCCAGACTTGGTTCAGTACAGAAATGTTTGCCAAAACACATTTTGTGGGAGTAGGGGTTGGATTTTATTCCCTGAACTAACCTGGTTTGATTTAGGTTCTTGGTTTTCGCTCCCGTCTTGCACATCCTAGGAAGTCCTACGAGTTTGAAGACTTGCTGCAGTCGTCCTTGGAGAATTGCAGGGTGGACTGGTATGCGCAGACGAAGCTGGGGCTCAGCCGCACTCTCTCAGAGGAGAACGTCTATGAAGACATCCTCGGTGAGAGACCAGTGAAGCAGGAGCACACGCAGGTGGAGAGACACCAGTGCACACACCAGACCCTCAGAGATAACATGCAGAGGTGGAGGGACACCTGTGCACACATCAGACCCTCAGAAATAACACACAGAGGTGGAGAGACAGCCCTTGATTGTTTGGTTTTATCCAGCTGTAGCTTTAAGACAGATCCGACCACTTTTAAGGTCCTCTGGCTGTCATTGGAGTTCCAGCTGCAGTTCGTGCCACCCACCCTAGTGGATTACCAGAATCAACCAGAGCCACTTGACCTTGAGTTGATTCTGACTCATGGTGCCCTGTGTGTGTCAGAGGAGAACTGTGCCCCACAGGGTTCTCAGTGGATGATATTTCATAAGTAGATTCCACTCATGGTGGCCCCCCGTGTGTGTCAGAGTAGAACTGTACCCCACAGGGTTCTCAGTGGATGATATTTCATAAGGAGATCACACTCATGGTGCCCCCCGTGTGTGGTCAGAGGAGAACTGTGCCCCACAGGGTTCTCAGTGGCTGAGTTTTCATAAGTAGATTCCACTCATGGTGCCCCCGTGTGTATCAGAGGAGAACTGTGCCCACAGGGTTCTCAGTGGATGAGTTTTCATAAGTAGATTCCACTCATGGTGGCCCCCCGTGTGTGTGTCAGAGTAGAACTGTGCCCCACAGGGTTCTCAATGGCTGAGTTTTCATAAGTAGATTCTACTCATGGTGCCCCCCGTGTGGTCAGAGGAGAACTATGCCCACATGATTCTCAGTGGCTGAGTTTTCATAAGTAGATTCCACTCATGGTGCCCCCGTGTGTGTCAGAGTAGAACTGTGCCCCACAGGGTTCTCAGTGGATGGTTTTTCATAAGTAGATTCCACTCATGGTGCCCCATGTGTGTCAGAGTAGAACTGTGCCCCACAGGGTTCTCAGTGGATGATATTTCATAAGTAGATTCCACTCATGGTGCCCCCCTTGTGTAGAGGGTAGAAATGTGCTTCACAGGAGTTTCACTGCCTGGTGTTTTTGGGAATAGACCTCCAGGTCTTTCTTCAAGGCACATCTGGGTGGACTAGAGCCCCCATCTTTGAGGTTAGCACAGAGTGTTTCCTCCCTCTGAGCCCCAGAAAAGTCTGAATCACAGTGTTCAGTCTGTTGAAGCTGGGTGCCTACCCCAGCCATGGCTCCCAGGCCCACAGGGAGCATGCACTCTGGTCTACTCTCAGAGGGTATATAGGTGGGGTGCTCTCCTATCAGGGAACAGAATCTGTTGCAAAGGCTGAAAACACCCAGGGAATTTCCTGGCTCCTCTGACGGGCTGTTTCTTACCTCAATGTGAGCTCCATTCTCAACCGGCTTCCCCATGATCCCTCCAACACATATATGTACATAGTGGCTGCTAAGCTGTTGAGGCTATAACTCTGGGGTGCACTCACGTTCACCTCAGAGCCAGGGAATGACCTTGCTGAGTTGACCCCGTAGATAGCACTTGAAGGGCTCCAATGGATGAAGCTCTGGAGCTGGGGGTGAGGTTAGGTAGCCAGGTGGCCACCCAGATGAAGAACAGGATCCTTTGCAAAGTGAAAATGATATCCCAGACATCTCCCAAAGTCTGACACGGGGCCCTTAGCCAAGATCAGAGTGGAAAACTCCCTCAGTGTCCTAAGCAGCTGACCTGTTGCCTTTGACCACAGACCTGCCAATGAAGGAAAACCCGTACGAGGACATCGAGCCACACGGCCGCTGCTTGGGGAAGAAGTGTGTCTTGAACTTTCCGGGCTCCCCTGCCTTATCCATCCCTGAGACACCCACCAAGGTGAGCCCCCAGGGAGCAGAGACAGGAGGGTCTGGCACATGATCAGAGCAACCCAGCACTCTGGGTGTCCTGAGAGTCCAGGCCACCTCACAGGAGGGAACCTGAATTTCCACTTCGGCCACTGGGTGGTCTTTTTGGCCTAGTTGTTCTGGAACCCCAGCACTCTACACACCTTCCCAACAGGAACCCCCAAACTGGCTGAAAGACAACAGTCCATCTGGACTCTCCAGGGCTAGAAGGTGTGGTGTGGGTAGTGTGTTTGTAAACTTTTTCCTGTGACTTGAGTGAAGGCTTCCAGAGCAGATCATCAGTTTTCCAGCTAACAAGTCACACACTTGGTTTCATCTCAATGACTGCAGTCCCCTCCGTGGAAGGTCACTTATCCCTCTTCCTCCCTGTGATCCTTGTTTCCTTCCTCCTTCTTTCCCCACCCTCTGGCCTTTGTCCTCGGGTAAACGCTGCCCTTCACATCTCACATGGTTGACCACTGTGTGGTATGCATACCTCACTAATGTGTGGTCCCTGCTATGTGCCTAGCTGTAGCTTGGCTGAAAATTGGGCTGTGGGGGTGAGTTCAATTCCAGACTTCAAGGGTGACTAAGAGCTATGGTCTTGGGGTTCCACCAGTCTCTATGTGACCAGTAAGCTTGATCTTTTATGTCATTTGGGTTTTGTTCCACATTTTCTCCCACTCTATCCAGGTTCTTCTAGTGTGGTCCCTTTTAGAGCAGGCTGTGGTGGTGGCTAGGCACCATCTAGTTCTTCTGGTCTCAAGGTCATGGAGACTGAGGGTCACGTGGTCCGTTTATTGTTTCCAAATATCTTCCCTCTCCCCAGACAGGGGGAGACCAATAGTTGCACCTTAGATGGCTACTCATGAGCTTTTAAAACCTCGGTCTCTACTCACCACAGTAGGATGTAGAACATTGTCTTTGGGGACTGTGTTGTACCAGGTGACCATGGTGTCCTCTGTGACCTGTAACGATTACAGCCTTGGAAACCCTAAGGGTAGAGGGAGGAGAGGTGGGGAGTTTTCATCTGTTCTATAGGGCCTCTGGGAGTCCGAATCCACTCAAAGACATTGCAAATGGATCTTAAAAAGAGCTCTGCTTTCTTTAGTGGTGTGCTAGAGGGGGGAAAACTGATACTCAAACATTCTCTAGTGTTCCTTTTGTTAAGCAGGCATTAAACAGAACAAAGGAGTCCTGGTGTGGTGTTGTAGGATAAACACTGGATTGCTAACTATGTTTGGCAGTTCAAGCTAACCAGCTGCTCCTCAGAAACCCTATACAGGTTACAATGAATCAGAACTGACTCAGTGATGTTTAACAACAAAAAACACCAGAACAAAGACTATCATCGGATGAGGGACAGCAGATGAGGGAAACTGGCAGCATGTACTCAGGACAGACACCAATGGACTCTGCTAAATCCCAATCGTGGGTTCACTATGCACTGTAGGGAAATTCCCCCAGATCGTGGGGCGGGGGTGGGGGGGAAGGGGCTCAGTTCATCACTGTTGCAACTGTGCAACTGGGACTACAGAATCCGGGAAGGAACTGTAGTTGGATACATGCCTGATTGTTGGTTTCAAATGGCTACAGGGCCGATTCTGGGGTTTGGTAGCGTAGTGGTTACGTATCGGGCTGCAAACCACAAGGTCAGCAATTTGAAACTACCAGCTGTTCTGCAGGAGAAAGATGAGGTTTTCTGCTCCTGTAAAGATTTACAGCCTCGGAAACCCTGTACAGGGTCGCTATGGGTTAGAACTGACTCCACGGCACATAACAACAACAACAACAAAGAGAGTGACCTATGGTCATGCTACCTGAGTTGACACCGTGAGGTAGTTACAAAACAATACCGGGACCCCAACCCTGAAGTTAGCTAACATGTCTCTGATGACTGCTTTCACCAAATGCCCAGCAAGTCCTCTTTCTGTGCCGTCTACATTCAACCACACTCTTGCTCAGGGCCAACTGCCGGCTCCTGTGTGGGCTGTGGACTTGTCTGAGCTCAGCCACATTGCTGGTTTAATGGTAGCATCCTTTAGGGACTGGTATGACGCTATAGGAGAAGCATTATTAACTGCTAAGTCAGCAGTTCAAACCCACCAGTTGTTCCTCAGGAGAAAGAAGAGTCAGTCTACTACTGTAAAGCTTTACAGCCTCTGAAACCCGTACAAGATCGGAATGAGTCGGAACGAAGAGTCAATGGCGGTGAGAGAGAAGCGAGAGGAAGGTAACCTGAAAAACTCGAACGGCATCTGAGCTGACGTCAAGATTCGTAACAGAGTTAGGGCTCCCACTGTGGACTTCAGCCTTCCACAAAGTACATGCTACTCAGAGCCTCCACAACAAAGACACAAGAGACCTAATGAAACCGAGACACATGCCAATCCAGAAACCCTGTGAGTCAGAGGAAAGGGCGGAGAAGTGGATTGAATCCCAACTAGAAGAAACCGATCAAAAGCGGTGAGAGAAGAGAAACACGGACAGTTACTGTGGTACGTTGCAACCACTTTGAACTTCTGCAAACACTGCTCCATCGGGACAGCGATTGACAATCGGCTCCGCTTGCCCTGGCCATACAGGCTCCCACACCGGTGGTACCCACCACTGCCCAGCCACACCTGAAGCTCTTTCAGCTCCACCACTGGGCAGGGGGGTCACCACCCACTCCTACATTAGCTGACCAGCACCAGCCCGACCCGCCTTCAACCGCGCTACATGAACAGGGAGCAGAGAATCGCACAAACACACCCAACATAGAGTCATAATGAACACATCCCACTGCCTTGGGGATGACACACATCTTCAGTGCACATTAACAAGTAGCAGTGGGACTCACACAAACGACCAACATGCGGAGCCACTAGAGCCTTTAGCAATAACTGCACCTATCTGATGAGGATTCCAAAAGGATGAGCTTTAGGGGCCTTCAGCAGACAGAATCTCAGCTCTTACACAGTGGTAAAGGGGTTCTGGTGGTGCTGGGGGTGTAGCATTGGGCTGCTAACCACAAGGTCTGTACTTCAAGCCCATCAGCTCCTCTGCATGAGACGAGGCTGTCTGCTCCTGTAAAGCGTCCCATCTTGGAAACCCTGTGGGACAATCCTGCTCTGCCCTGCAGGGTCACTAAGAATCAGAAGTGGGAAGAATACAGCAATTAAGCAGTCAGCTGCTAACCAAAAGGTCAACAGTTCAAACCCATCGTTTGCTCTGCAAGAGAAAGATGTGGCCGTCTGCTTCTGTAAAAATTTCCAAAGACCAAACCCATTACCAGTGAAGTCTTTCAAGGTGGATGGCAACCTTGGGGATCCTACAGGGCAGTTCTAGCCTGTCCTCTGGGGCCCCTGTGTGTCGGAATCTACTCAACGGCCATAGGTTTTTGGTTAATTATGAATCTTAAAACATGTCCACACATAGCTATTACTCAGCGGCGATAGGTTTTTGGTTAATTATGAATCTTAAAAACATGTCCACACATAGATATTAAGTTCCTCAAGGTTGGAAGTGATATGTTTTGTTTCTCTGTGTTTCTTTCTCTTACCTGCTGGCTTAGCATTTGTAGCATTCTATGATAGTGTAGTGGTTACGAATTGGGCTGCGAGCCTCAAGGTCAGCAGTTCGAAACTACCAGCTGCTCCACAGGAGAAAGATGAGGCTTTCTACTCCCGTAAAGATTTACACCCTCGGAAACCTTGTACAGGGTCGCTATGGGTCGGATCCGACTCGATGGCACTTAACAACAGTAACAACATGATACTCGGTTGTTGGAGAAATTAAATAAATGAAGGCCACACCCAGTCTGCATGTGTCTGTTTAAGCCCCATTACTGGGATCTGTCTCCATAGAAGGGGAAGACCTGGCTTCCTCCTCAGCAGGGCAGCGGCTGTCTTCAGGGGCGGGGCACTTTTTCTGATAGCTCTTCACCAAAACAGTTCCCCTGCCACAGTCCTGCTGGAGACAACATTTGCCTAACCTGTCACCAATGGTGTGCTTTACAGGACCAAACTACTTGCTCCCAGACTTGGCAAACCCAAGTAACCACAGTTTCCTTTTCACATGGAAACTGTCATCCTAGAGGATCCAGGACAAACAATCATTAGTACACAGTTTCTACTTTTCTTCAAAGTGGACTTGTGTTTGCATTGGCTTCACTTCTTCACACACTGAGAGTTTGAAATTCAAATCCACTGAAAGCTCTGTGGAGTACTGCTCTGCTCTGACCCACTCACAGCGACGTTACGCACAACAGTGAGGTCACCGTGAGTCAAAGCTGATTCACTGGCAACAGACTTCTTTATTTTCTTCACTTACCATAGAAAATATTGAATGAAGAAAAGATTGATGTTGTCAAGGATTTTATTTTACTTAGATCCACAATGGAGATCAAAGACCACAGCCTTTAGTATGGGTTGCACCTCAATGGAAAGAAAACAAAAATCCTCACCCCTGGAGCAATAAATAACATCATGAAAAATGGAGAAAATGTTGAAATTGTTGAAGACTTAATTTTGCTTGTATCAACCATCAATACTCATGGAAGCAGCAGTCGAAAAATTAAATGACATACTGCATTAGGCAACATCTACGTAAAGTGTTCAAGAGCAAAGATGTCAGTTTGAGGACTAAAGTGCACCTGACCCAAGCCATGATATTTTCAATATCCTCATATGCATGTGAAAGTTGGACAATGAATAAGGAAGATTATAGAAGAATTGATGCATTTGAGTCATGGTGTTGGAGAAGAATATTTAAAGTACCATGTGGTACTGTAGGTTCAGCACTGGACTGTGAACCACAAAGTCAGCAGTTCAAACCCACCAGCTGCTCTTCTGAAACCCTATAGAGGGTCGCTATGAGTTGGAACCGACTCAATGGCACTTAACAACAGTAACAACAACAATGGACTGCCAGAAGAGCAATGAGATCAGTGTTGGAAGAAATGCAACCAGAGTGTTCCTTGGAAGCCAGGATGGCGAGACTTTGTCTCCTACTTCGGATGTATTGTCAGGAGGGATCAGTCCCTGGTGTAGGATCTCTTGCTTGGTAAAGTAGGTGGTCAGGGACAAAGAGGAAGACCCCTCCAATGAGACGGATTGGTACAGTGGCAGCAATAGGCTCAGACTTAATGGTTTTGAGGATGGCACAGGACTGAGCATTTTTTCGTTCTCTTGTGCATAACATCCCTGTGAGTCAGAATGGACTCAACAGCTGCTAACAACAGCTTCACAGTCAACACCTGTGGAAGCAGTAGGCCATAAATCAAATGACATACTGCCTTGGGCAAATCTGTTGCAAAAGACCTCTTTCAAGGGTCAAGAAGCAAAGATGTCACTTTGAGAACTAAGGTGCACCTGACCCAGGTCCTGATCTTTTCAGTAACCTCATATGCCTGTGGAAACTGGACACTGAATAAGGAAGACCATAGAAAAATGGATGCATTGAATTGTGGTGCTGGAAAGGAATATGGAAAGGACTATGGACAGACAGCAAAACAAACATGTCTGTCATGAAAGAGCGTGCAGCCAGGATGCTCCCTTAAAAGCGAGGATGGTAAGACTTCCATTTATGTACTTTGGGCATGTCATCATAAGGGACCTTTAGAAAGACATCATGCCTGGTAAAGTAGAGGGTTAGCATAAAGAGGAAGACCCCCCGTACCCACCAACAAGATGGACCCACACAGTGGCAGCAACAATGGGCTTGAGCGAGCACTGATCGTAAGGATGGTGCAGAACTAGGCAGTGCGTCAGTCTGCTGTGCACCGCGTCCTATGAGTCGGAACTGATTCACCAACATGGTGAGTCCACCTCGGGAAAGCCTGACTTAGGAAGAGAAGGAAATGCTCTTGTGACCTGCCCCCTTTGTTACCTCCCCTCCATAGGAGAGAACTACCTCTCCCCTAGGAATAAAGAACCAGCTGCCCACACCAGCTCCACGTTCCCCACCAAGGACCAGAAAATGAAGCCTTCCTGTGTGGTCTGAGCAAACCCAGGACTCGTCACAAGACAGGTGTGAGCACTGCCCGGTGACGTGCTGACGTGTCTGATGGCCACTCTGTCCTCATGCTGACTCTGCTGTCCACAGCTGGGGGTCCAGTTAGTGTCTGCCCAGCACTCTCCACTTCCTCACTGGGCTCACAGAATATTCACCAGCCATATCTGGACCCTGCCATAAGCCACAAAAAAGTCTTTTAGGATTTTCCATCATCAGACCCTGCTTGGTCCCAGAAGAAAGGTATGGTCAGCTGGACAGATTTTCCAAAGAACCATGTGAAGCCAAACCTGTTTACCATCAGTTCTAACTCATCGCAGCCCCACGTGTGTCAGTACAGCTGAGCTACATAGGGTTTTCAGTGGTTGATTTTTCAGAACTAAATCGCCAAGCCTTTCTTCTGAGGTTCTAATGGGTAGATTCAAACTATTGACCTTTTGGTTAACACACTTGGCTGTTAATTAAAAAGCTTGGCGAGTTGAGTCCATCCAGAGGTACCTTGGAAGAAAGACTTGGCAAACGTCTCCAGAAAAAACTCAGCCATTAAGAACACTATGGAGTGCAGTTCTGCTCTGACCACATGGGGGCGCCGTGAGCCAACGTGGACCAGAGGACAACTACTGAAATTGGTAGTTGGAAAATGAGTTCTCTATTATGCGTTCGTTGCTTTGTTTTGTTTTACTGGCCTTTTGACTTTGAAGAGGTTCCTCTTAGAAATGAGATGCTGAGGCCTGAAAGAGGTGTTGGTTGGTTGGTTATGTGCCGTGGAGTTGGTTCCGACTCTTAGTGACCCTGTACAGGATTTCCGAGGCTATAAATCTTTACAGGAGCAGAAAGCCTCATCTTTCTTCCATGGAACAGCTGGTAGTTTCAAACTGCTGAGCTTGCAGTTCCACAGCCCGATTCGTAACCACTATGCTACCAGAGCTCCTTAGAAAGGGGTGTGGCTTCACGTAAGCCCCCAGCTAGCTAGGCAGGGTCAGCTCAGGCCCTGTGTCCTCAGCACTATGCATCTGGGGCTATCAGAAAGCCTCACCTCTACAGGCAGGGGCGCGAGTCAGGAGAGTCCCACTCATCTGAAGAGAGAGACTGAGCTGTTTTCACCTCCTTTGTCACATGAATTTTCTACAATCAGGCGGTGTCCGTGGGTGGTTTTCCCACAGGTGAACTTGATTTGACATGCTGTGGCCAGCTTCCTTCCTGGGCCTCAGGGTGCCCATCATTGTGGTTAGGTGCCATCCAGTCAGTTACAACTCAAAGGGACCCCGTGTACAGCAGAACCAAATACTGCCCAGTCTTGCGCATCCTCACCAGTTTTACAGTGGAGTTGCAGCTGCCAATGTGTTATTCCATCTTTCTGGAGGGCTTTCTCTTTCTCGCTGACCCTCTACTTTACCGAGCATGATGTCCTTGTCTAGGGACTGGTCCCTCCTGACGACATGTCCGAAGTACAAGAGACGAAGTCTGGCCATCAGTGGTACCTCACAGCGTTCCTCATTGTACAGCGTTCCCCTTACTCTTTCCCCTTTCCTCTCCCAGCAGTCCTTGTCCAAGCCAGTTTTCTTCCGGCACAACTCTGAGAGGAGGAACTTCAAGGTGTTGGACACGCGGAAGCCGAGTCGGGACGGGACTGTGTCCCCTTCCAGGGTCAGCCCCCCTTCCACTCCCAGCAGCCCTGACGACACTTTCTTCAACCTTGGGGACCCGCAGAATGGACGGAGAAAGAAGAAGATACCCAAGGTAACTGGTACTGAGCTTGGACACTTGTTTGTGTTCAGATGCGCCCTCCCGTGTCTCCATAGGGGCTGCATAGGGGCCTGGACCAAGCATGGTCACCAAGCTCTTGCTGCCACCTTGCAGTAGGGCCACAGGACACTGAGCTGGCAGGCCTGCCCTGTGTGGTCCGGGCATTGTCCTCAGATAATGGCGGTCCCTTAACTGTCCTTCAGCCAACACTCACCCAGCCGTACCTGGAAAAACATAGCAGGTAGCTTGTCATTTAACAATTTGTAAGTGTGTAATCAATCCTGTAGTAGTAAGGAACTCTGGTAGCGTAGTGGTTATGTGTCGGGCTGCTAACCTCAAGATCAGCGGTTTGAAACTACCAGTTGTTCTGTGGGAGAAAGATGAGGTTTTCTGCTCCTGTAAAGATCTGCAGGCCCGGAAACCCTGTACAGGGTCGCTATGAGTTGGAACCAACTCCACAGCACATAACCATCACCACTCAGTCCTGTGGCCTTCGTGTCATTTACCGTGGTGCACAACCAGCACCTGGGAAAACATGTTGTTGTGTGCTGTTGAGTCGGTTCCATCTCATACCGATCCTTTGTAGGGTTTCCAAGGCTGTGAATCTTTACAGCGACAGACAGTTTCATCTTTCTTCCATGGAGTGGCTGGTGGAATCAAACTGCTGACCTTGCAGTTAGCAACCCTTCACATACCCCACTCACTACTCCATGTAGAGCATAACATTTGCCATTTAACCTTTTGTAATTGTGGCATGCATTACATTTACCATGTTGTGTGCCCAATTATCTAAGGAGCTCTGGAAGCATAGCGGCTACAGATCTGGCTGCTAATCTCACAGTCAGCAGTTCGAAGCCAGCTGTTCCGCATGAGAAAGATGAGGCTTTGGTCGCTATGAGTCAGAACAGATTCCATGGCACATAACAACAACAACAAACCACATTATCTATTTTCAAAACTTTCTCATCACCCTTAAGGCAGTAACTTCCCATATGTTCAGGGCCCGGAGTCAATTCCAGCTCATAGTGACTGTATAGGAGAGACTGCAGATCTCTTTCCTGTGAGCAGCTGATGGATTTGAACTGCCAACCTTGTGGTTAATAGCCAAGTGCTTAATCCAGTGTACTACCAGGGCTCCCTTGTTGTTGTGGTTGTTGTTAGGTGCCATCGAGTTGGTACTGATTCATAGCAACCTTATGCACAGCAGAACGGAACACTGCCCAATCCTGGGCCTACCTCACTACTGTTGCCATGCTTGAGCCCACTGATGCTGCCACTTAGCCAATCCATCTCACTGGGGGTCTTCCTCTTTTTCTCTGACTCTCCACCTTACCAAACATGATATCTTTCTCCAGTGACTGGTCCCTCCTGATAATATGTCCGAAGTATGAGAGATGAAATTTGGCCATCTTGGCCTCCAAGGAGCACTCTGGCTGCACTTTTTCAAAAACTTAGTGCCTGGTAATTTCCTGTCTGCTTCCAGTCTGTGAATTTGCTTATGCTAAACACTTCACGTGTGTGGAATTGCAGCTCATGTGTCCTTTTGTGTGTGACTTCTTCCACTCAGTATCACGTTGTCAGGCTCAGCAGAATATCAGGACTGCCTCTCTCTCTCCCTGTGGCTGAGTGGTAGTCCATTGTTTGGATGGACCTGACTTTGCGTACCCATCACCTGTTGATGGGCATTTGGGTCGTGTTCACCTTTTGGCGATAGTGAACACGTGTCTGTCTGAGTCCCAGATGTCACATCTGTGGGGCTGATCCCCCGAAGTGGGAGGAGCTCTTGGCTGCTAACTAAAAGGTCTGCAGTTTGAACCCACCAGCCCACTCCACAGGAGAACGACGAGGCTGTCTGACGCTCCTGTAAAGTCTCAGACACCCTGAGGAGCGTTCTGCTTTGTCCTGTAGGGTCACTGTGCGTCAGCATCAGTCTACTGCAGTGGGCTCAGTGTGGGCTTTCAGCATGGTAGTTATATATATGATGTTCTTTCTTGCCAAATGGGAGAGGAACATTTTTCTTTGTTCCTTGTTGGACAGCAGGCTGCTGTCCAAGTGCAGGAGACACTGAGGCCTGAGGGGGAAATGGGACTGGGCCATGGTGTGGGACAGAGGCCGTGGTGTGGGGGAGAGGCCGTGGTGTGGGGAGAGGCCGTGGTGTAGGACAGAGGCTGACTACGAGTGGCTCCACTCCAGAGTGGCCACTTGGTCCCCGTGCTCTGAGTGTCCCTCCAAGGACGTTGCTCCCCTCCCCCTGGGGCTGTTCAGACATGGTCCAGCCTGGTTCCCACCAGGTCCCTCTACCCAGACCATTTCCTCCACCATCTCTTCTTCTGGCTTTGTTTTGGGGCAGTGGCTTCTTCCCTGGGATGCCTCCTCTGCAGATAGGGGAGCCACTGACCCTCACAGATCCAAGGCTGCCTTAGGGGAGACCACATTGTCCTGCACAATGCGGCTAGTCCATCCAGTGTTAGTGGCCAGTAGGCCCTCGTCTGGTGGAATGAGAGACACCTATAGGAAGCATCTCTCCAGCTCAGGATTCCCAGTAGCCCATGGGAGGGGGGCGCTGCTGCTCACCCCACCTCTCTTCCCCGTGTCTGCAGCTGGTGCTCCGCATCAACGCCATCTATGAGGCCCGGCGAGGGAAGAAGCGGGTGAAGAGGCTATCCCAGTCAGCGGAGAGCAGCTCTGGGAAAGGTAGACCTCTGCCCGCTGCCCCACTGTCCTCAGAGATCACGTCCAGCACCCCCAGGAAGGGACCTGTGACACTTGTCAATGTGTCTGCCAGGGAACTGGGGTGGGGGGACGCTGGGCTGGGCAGTCTTAGGCCCCCACCTCCCCACTGGTGGGTGAAGAAGAGGCCAGCACTGTTGGACCTGTCTTTTGACATGAGCCGAGACCCTTGAACAGACAGGAAGGAAGTGCCCTCTGAACTGGCCCTGGTACTGTGCCAACAGGTGTAGACTTGCTGTGGAAAAGCCCCCACATTCATGCCTTTCCTCCTTGTCTTTGTTCCAGTGACAGATGACAATAGTGAGTCCGACAGTGACGCCGAGGAAAAGCTGGAAGGTGAGGAACCTGCAGGGGGCTCACCCAGAGGAGCAGGGTGGGCCAGGCATCAGCTCAGCAGGACAGCCCCTCTCCAGAGAACCTCCCTTTGTGTCCCTCTTTCGTGAGGTATCACGGGTTCTGTGATCTCCAGGGTCCTCAGGGGTTGGCTGGCTTCACTGAGCAGACCCCCAAGGAGCCAAGGAAGCCAAGCCAGAACTCTGAGGGGCGTGGAGGGCTCTGCAGCACTTGGTGGCCTTGTCCTGTTCACCTCACAGGTGGAGCAAGTGCTGCAAGGTGGCCAAGGGCGGGCAGTGGGGGCGCTGCCAGAGAGCCACACGGGGACTCTCCACATTCCCAGTTCAGAAAGCCCTGGGGTCTCATTCCACCCAATTGTCCCCTCCCACAAAATGAAAGGTAGAGCGGTGAGAGCAAGGTCCAGTTTCCACCCACCCAGGAAATGAAGGCATGGTTTTGAAAGCTGAGGTCTAGCATGTAGACCACAGAGCCACATAGAGCAGCACCCCAGGATTTGAGCCCCACACACTGCAGAGCAGAACCCTGGCTCCACACTCCTTACCCTCAAAGCCACATCCACGGGATCCAGGCCCCACACCCTGTGGAGCCTGAGCCTGCCTGCTCCCAGCACTGTCGGCGACCCGCCTCGACACAGGGGTTCGGTTCACGAGGAGAGGATACCTGACGGCGATTGCAATAAATCAAGAATACACAGAAGGAGACAAAGAGAGACAATGAGGCACCCTAAAGCCAGGGTGGATACATCACTGATAGGCAGGCTTGGGACTACAGGCATCTTGGCCTCTGCAGGCAGCAACTCACTGCCCTGCAATCTTTACTGCATGCCTTCCAACCTGTAATGCACTGCAATCTTTACTCCATGCCTCCCAACCAGTAATGCACTGCAATCTTTACTCCATGCCTCCCAACCAGTAATGCACTGCAATCTTTACTCCATGCCTGCCAACCAGTAATGCACTGCAATCTTTACTCCATGCCTTCCAACC